TATATTCATGTAAATTCAAAATTACACACAAATTTATACTTTAAATAACTTAATTAAAGTTTAATATAATATTAATAACAAAATTAACTTCGTAATATAATTTGATTATTTTAACACGAGTTCAATACAAACTTTTATAATTATAGAGCACTAACTAGACTTAAAGAAAATATATTAATTATAAATAAAAAAAATTCAAAGGTTCAACAAAAATAATATGTTAACTATAAGCTTAAAAAAAAAGTGAGTTCAACAACTCAATTAGTAAATAATTTAATATACACACAAAGAAATACAATAATGAGGAATACGCACACACACCAAATTATTGTTTTAGGTTCTTATAAGAAAGTAGGGGTGAGCAAAAAAACTAAAAAATCGATTAAACCGAAAAAACTGAAAAAATTAAACCGTGAAAAAAACTGATTAAACCGATTATAATTTTAAAAAAACCAATCGATTTGGTTTTATAAACCTGAAATAAAAAAAAAAACCAAACTAAGCTGAACCCAAACAGAAAAAACCAAGCCAAATCAGTTTGAACCAAACTTTTTCTAAAATAACCAAACCAAACCAAAACTAGTCAATTTGAACTGATTCTAGTTTGATTTTGGTTTTTTTAAAAAAAACCAGTTTGGTTATTTTTTTTGATAAAAATCAACTGAACTGAAAATGATCAACCCTATAAAATTTTTTCTCAAATAGACCATAATAAGAATATTATAAGGTGAAAATTAAAATATAATGAGTATAAGGCTTTATATTGTGAAATGATTAGTCCATATAAATTGATGATTCCCTCGACAAACTAGGATTCAGATATGATGTGCATAAAAACTAATATTATCCTATTAGCATAAGTATTCTAATAAGTATACCAAAGCTTCATATCATAATAAAATAGACAAATTTATATCTCAAAGCTCAACTTATAACATCAATCTAATGAGAAGTTATCAATTTAAAAGTCAATTTAAAAGTATATATTGGCTCATATCAAGAATTTATATTCAATAATTGATCATATTTTATCGTAATAAGGATAATAATCAACATATATATTATCAAAAAACAGGATTCAATTTATATTAATAATTTTAATATTTATACCATTTCTTATATATATGAAAAATTATTCATTTACCTAACTCAAAAGTGAATATAATTCAAAAAAAAATACTGAAGGAAATTTTATTAATGTCTTGCCGGTAAAATATTAAGAATAAACATAATAAAAATTAAAAATCTAACTCATAACATTATATGTTAATGAACTAAACCAGTCATTTTTTACAAAAGTCAAATGGTTTTCTAGAAATTTAATTCAAAGAAAAACAAATTATAAAACATGATAACAATTCACCAAATAACGCTCAATACTCATCAAACCAATCTAAAAAAATAAGATTACAACTAAAGATCAATCTGAAATTTTATCAGATTTTTAGGGGTCTAATTGTAATTTTATCAGATTAAAGGATCAAACAGAAAATATCATAAATTAATAACTATACTGAAATTTTATCCATAATTGATCCTTGTTTTTATCCAGAATCTTAAATTATACTATGATGTTTTTTAAAATTTAAAGACTAAACTGTAAATTTTATAAATTAAGAGATTAAATTGAAATTCCATCATCTTCAACTCTAAACCCAGATTTTTTTATGGATAAACTATTGATTTACTAAGATATCTAACTCAATTTTATTATTTAAACAAACCATATCTCAAAATCATCATCATTGTTCAAAATCAATTAAATAAATCATTACCTATAACAATTAATCCATAATATTCTAATTAATTTATCAATCAAACTAATAATAAAATCTTCAAAACCCTAATCTTCATCAAAATAAAAAATCAAAGATAAATAACACAATCATACACATCAAAATATAAATCTTATATTTTAAACTTATTTTATCACACTCTCTTGTCCTTCCTTTATCATTTTCTCTTTTATCTTCTTCTTCTTGCCCCCTTTCTGCTCTCAAATCATAATATTCTAATAAATTCTAATACGTTATTCAAATGAAAAGGATACGAGGCAGATATCATTTTATAATACCCCTTTGTCTACTTGGTTATATTTCTGGCCCCACCAGCATTATTTTTCATCGGACTTGTTATCATTGGCTATCAAGTAAATATTGTGTTCGTGCTCGGTGGTGCGTGTTTTTCCTGCTAGTAAGTAAAAGCTTTCATCATCAATTATAACCCCTCTTAAAAGGTATCATATTTCCAGTAGATTAATGGTGCTTACTAATTTTCTCTTATTGAAACCACAACTTTTGTGTGTTATCAGATAGTGATTTATTGATTTGCAGTTATGCCCATGAATGAATCCGCAGAGAGCTCTATCAGGGTAAGCACAAGCTTCTTTGATGATCGAAAATTGATGTCTTTACTGGAATATGATCATTTTTTATTTATTTACTTCTGTCATCTTTGGTTCTTCCTGTATTTATAATACAGGTGGATGGCGAAAGCCCAGTGTGCAGTCTAGATGAGGCTCTTACTTCTGTGGGGTTTGGGACATTCCAAGTGCTTGCTTACGCTTGGTTGGATTGCAGAAGCAATGGAACTTATGATTCTATCCTTGGTGGGACCCGTGGTTAAGTCCCAGTGGGATCTCTCCCCAGGCCAAGAGAGTCTACTATCAACCGTTGTTTTTGCTGGCATGCTTGTTGGAGCATTTTCTTGGGGCCTTGTTTCGGATTACTATGGAAGGAGGCAGGCCATTTTCCTCTTATTTCCTTCCATTCTGAGATGCTTTGCCTTGGTAATAATGGTCATGAAGAGCAAATGATTTCCAATTATGTAAACCTGATCTGTATTCTGTGAATACCCTTTCTGATTTTTAGTTATAACTTACAGTCAATAACATTTTCCTGTTAGTTCTGACATTTATGCTATTTTTTTCTTGCTGCTTCAAGCTTCCTCTTATTTGTTGTCTTGATCTTATATATATTTCTGACTTCATTTAGCTTTTCCAGGAAGGGTTTGCTAGGACCAACTATTCTTACTGGCGGAGCTGGATTATTCAGTACTTTCTCCCCAAATTACGTATCCCTGTTGATTCTTCGCTGCTTGGTTGGCGTTGGCGTTGGCGTTGGCGGGACGACTGTTTTCTGCTCCTGGTTTCTAGAGTTTGCTCCCTCCTGGAATGCTTGTTTCTGATAGTACAATTGGACTGGATGAAGAATCTTCTGCGTCAGAATATACCCCTCTACTCTCGTCAACTAGAAAAATAAATCTGGATTTTGGATCAGGCTTCTCATCGTTTGTTATGCTTTTCTCATCAAAACTAATTCCAACGACGCTTTTTGTATGGGTGTTACACTTTTGGAAAAATATTCTCTTTTTATGGTATGTTGTTGCTGGCTTCAGAACTAAGTAGGGAGCAAAGCAAAAGTGGCTCGAGCACTGTCTTGCGATCAGAAAATCTTCAGGATGACAGCCTCCACGTAGATGTATTTATTACTAGTTTGGCAGGTATTGCATGCACCGTCTCCTCCACCTGCACTTAAGGTTGAGGTTTGAGGAATCCTCCATGACATGAAATGTTTACTTTCTTTTTCTTTTTCTTTCTATATATATGCATACATGTATCATCCGAAGCAATGACCGGGTAGTATGTTTTCCTGAAACTCTATGTTGTAGAGATTCTGGGCTTATTCTGTCAGCAATTGTTGTGGATACAATTGGACGCAGGCTCTCGATATCATTCATGTTTGCCTCAGCTTGTATTTTCCTCTCTCCTCTGTTTTACCATCAATCTGCAACTTTAACAACAACATTGATGTTCGGAGCTCGCATGAGTAGCAGAGTACTCTCCACGCTTGCTACAATATATGCTCAGGAGGTAAGCCCTGGAATTCACGCATTTCGTTGTATCCGAAGGTGAATGGTAGTACTTGCCAGTTCTTTTCAAGTTTCACACCTACTAGCGGTCAGTGTTGCATGGTTCTGAATAATTGATTGTCTTGGATGCTGTTCCTGCGTTATATCCAACGGCTGTGAGGGCAACTGGTTTTGGGGTTGCAAGTGCTGTACGGAGGGTTGGTGGCATGATAACCCCCCTTGTAGCGGTCGGACTAGTGACCGGTGGCCATCATACAGAAGCTATCATCCTGCTAGACATTGTGATGGCTATGTCAGGACTCTGTGTCCTGCTCATCCCAGTCCAAACCAAGGGACATGAATTCAGTGACAGCGTAGATGTATCTGATTCAAAACAAGTTGTTGCTGCCGGGCAGTAATCTCAAACCCAATCAAGCATTGTATAAAGGAATGTTTTCTGTTAGACTTCCAAAACACCAATGCAAATCATCCGCTAAGCTGCTCTGCATTATGTGGGAGTAATGGTTCCCCCAATGTAAATCTCGTTTATCTCCGATTGCTTCTCCACCACTCTTTTTTTCTTTTGCTCGAAATCTTCTCTACCTTGTAAGATATTACATTAGTGCCCGCACCTTATGGTTATTTTTCAAAATATTTTTTATTTAAAATAATATATCTTTTAAAAATGTCTTCTAATAAATTGAAATATTGTTACTTAATCTTTTATTTTTGGTATAAAAAGAAAATTACATACTACTCCTTGCAAGGAGCACGAGGTTTTGACAAAAAGAAGAAGCAAGAGGAGTTCTTGGAAAGACAGATAGTTGCTTTTTTCTTATGAACCGTGTCAAAATTATATATATTGAATTTTTGCCGTATTTTTAAAATAAATATATATAATTTTAAATATATAAAAATTCAAATAAAATAAATTTAAAAAACCATTTAAAATAAACCCTCCATAAAAAAACACCTATTAGACTCAAGCTTCGTAGCTCAAGCCTAATATATAGTAAGAGACCTAGAAGAGTGGGATCAAATGTGGTAGTCTAAGTTTAACTCTTTAATTTTCAACAAAACCAAAAATTAAAGCTAAATAATATAATTAGATACATTAAATTACAAATTTTATCTTTTAAAATTATTTTTTCTAAGTCTTTTTCTCTTTTTATTTCTCTTTTTTATATATATATTTTTTTTCTCATTTCTTCACTCCTTCCAGTTCTCTCTCTCTCAAAAGAAATTTTTTTTATTTATATTTATTAGGTTTTATTCAATTACCACAATATTCCTTATCCATTTATACCTCCTTCTAAGCCTTTATCAGCATTGTTACATTTGTTTATTTATTTTTTCAAAACATCACACCAAGACCCTATAGGTTTAGGGTTTCGCACCTAAGCTTAACACAAGACCCTATAGGTTTAGGGTTTCGCACCTAAGCTTAACACGTTCAGGTTCGAGAGCACACTCCGAGTCTAATATTTGGGTCAAACAGCATGTTTGCATTTAGTTTTTATTTTTAATGGGCTCAAGCCAAACACTTGTTAGAGATTTTTTTAGAAATTCACATGAATTTCTAGGTATTTTATATTAATTAAATATATATTATTTAAAAAAAAATATAACTCAAAATATTATAATAATAAAATTATACTTTATCTCTTATTCTCCAAAAAAAAATCATAAGTTATAAACATATCGTAAATATTTTAAATTATAGATTTACAAAAATTTATAAAAATTTTTATTTTTAATATTTTTAATATATATATTTTCAAAATTTATAATTTTTCTCTCTATAGAATTATTAATTTTATCATTAAAAAATCAACATATCCGTTAAATAAAACTTTTTGCATGTAATCCCTGCTAATTACTTGATTTTCCAAGCTTTCACCTGCTACCAATTCATAGCGGTGTGATTTCCGTATAAGTCATTTAACACGTTGACTAAGAAAACACCTTAACTAAAAAAAAAAAGATGAGCCATGTTGCTTGAAGAAAGACATTCAATCAATTATCCAACACGAGTGATTCGGGACTCATCACTTTTCATTCACCTAACACGAGGAATGCTCAATATATTGGGTGGGTGCAGCATGACTTAGTTTGATAGCATGTTTGGTTTTGTTTGATTCTTGTCCGGGCAGTAAAAATAAATTGTAAGACTCCATGTTTATCCATTTCTGAAAGGTATCGTCATTTTTTCCTTTAGTGTTTAAGATTAGTAATTTCTTCTTATAATTATTACAGTTTTTTTTTTGCGATTGATTGTGACAGCATGTTTGATTTATAACTAGTTTGAAGCTATGCCGGTGATTGAAGC